CTTGGGGACACGTTGGGGACCGGGTGGCCAGGCAGGTGGCGGGCGGCGGTGACGCCGTTTACAGCCGGAGCCGGGCGCAGGATCCGGCCTGGCACCCGGCCCGGTGTCACCGTCACCGTCACTGTCACCGGAGCCACGGATGGGGTACGGTCCCTTGTCCCCGGGGAAGGGGGGGTCCCATGTCCTTGGTGTCCCCTTTGGGGTGTCCCTTGTCCCCAAGGAGATGGTCCCCAGGGGTTGGGGGTCTCCTGTCCCCGCGTCTCCTGGGGATGTCCCCAAGGAGGGACGATGTCCCCAAGGGGGGGGGGGGGGGTCCCTTGGGGTGTCCCTGGGCCCTGGGGACATGGTCCCTGGGCTCAGAGGTCTCCTGTCCCCGCGTCCCTGTCCCTGGGGGACACAGGTCCTCACCGCTCCGCGGGTCCCTTGTCCCCAAGGGGAGTATCCCTGTCCCCAAGAGGGTCCCTGAGGTGTCCCCTGTCCCCAAGGAGCGTCCCTGGGCTGTCCCTTGTCCCCAGGAGCGTCCCTTGTCCCCAACAGGTCCCTTGAGAGGGGAGGACGTCCCTTGGGATGTCCCCTGGGGTGTCCCCTGTCCCCAAGGAGCATCCCTGAGGTGTCCCCTGTCCCCAAGAGGGTTCCTGGGGTGTCCCTTGTCCCCAAGCAGCATCCTTGAGGTGTCCCCTGTCCCCCAGGAGCATCCCTGGGGTGTCCCCTGTCCCCAAGGAGCGTCCCTTGTCCCCAACAGGTCCCTTGAGAGGGGGGGACGTCCCTTGGGTTGTCCCCTGGGGTGTCCCCTGTCCCCAGGGGGATGCCCTGGGGTGTCCCCTGTCCCCAAGAGGGGCCCTGGGGTGTCCCCTGTCCCCAAGGAGCGTCCCTTGTCCCCAACAGGTCCCTTGAGAGGGGGGGACGTCCCGTGGGTTGTCCCCTGGGGTGCCCCCTGTCCCCAGGGGGATGCCCTGGGGTGTCCCCTGTCCCCAAGAGGGGCCCTGGGGTGTCCCCTGTCCCCAAGGAGCGTCCCTTGTCCCCAACAGGTCCCTTGAGAGGGGGGGACGTCCCTTGGGTTGTCCCCTGGGGTGTCCCCTGTCCCCAGGGGGATGCCCTGGGGTGTCCCCTGTCCCCAAGAGGGGCCCTGGGGTGTCCCCTGTCCCCAAGGAGCGTCCCTTGTCCCCAACAGGTCCCTTGAGAGGGGGGGACGTCCCTTGGGTTGTCCCCTGGGGTGTCCCCTGTCCCCAGGGGGATGCCCTGGGGTGTCCCCTGTCCCCAAGAGGGGCCCTGGGGTGTCCCCTGTCCCCAAGGAGCGTCCCTTGTCCCCAACAGGTCCCTTGAGAGGGGGGGA